TATAATTTAATTTGTTTGTCTAATGAGCGTCTCTCGCCATCAAACGCTAAAGTTTAGATTTAAGGCCACACCTATGAAAAATTTCACTAAAAAAATTCCAGTTTGAAAAAAATATACCCAAAATCAGAACTAAAATGTAATCCATACATTAGTAAACAAATGCGCTCTAACTAGCAAATCAAACACCAGAGACAAAGTTACAAATAGATTCAGAACGCACGTGCGCTGTATTAATGGCAGACAACGTATATTTTGAACGTTTTCATTTATTTTCTCGTATACCGTGCACTATACGATATACTCAGAAAGAGCAGTGCTATTCTGAAATTTCATTTTGCAAAGTTACTTCTGAATGAGTGAGATTGAATTTTCGAATTTAGAAAATAAGTGAGTTCGACACATTTACTCCACGTGTGTGTGAGGAGAGTGAGGAGAGAGAGTGAGGAGAGCAGTGAGAAGAATTATTCCAAATGAATTTTGATATTATGAGTTGTGGCATTTTAACATGTTTTATAACCGAATCCAAAAAAGAAGGAGGATATCTTTGTCGGCGAATATCACGCGACTGGCTAAACCAATTTACATAAAGTTTTCAGGAAAGTATTTGTCATACTGCCTCGTTGGGCGAGTGGTTGCAAGTGCGACTACCGGTCTTGGGTTCAATTCCCGGGTCGGGCAAAGTATTTCTGGGATTTAAAAAACTTATCAGTAGCAGCAGGGAGTCTGGAATTGTGCTCGGTATATGGCAATAGGTTCACCTCCTATTACATGGGACTGATAATATAAATAGTGAAAAGTGGGTGTTACATTGTACAGTGGCATTAAGTTCCGTAATGTGCACCTCTGCTTACCCCTTCGGGGATAAAAGGCGGGATTATGTATTTGTCGTACTTAGGGAAAATTTTTAGTATTTAGCTGACTTTAAATTGTCATTCTCCAATTTCATCCGTATGTGTCTAAGTGGATTTGTCCGCGACTAATAATTTTTTTTTTAAGTATGATCTTCGCGACGACTTTTGATATGAATTTACCATTTTCAGAATAGCACTGCAGTCTACCTAGCTAGTTAATGTGGGTGTTAGGATTAGAATAATCTTTATTTATTACCTTTATTTCTATGTGAGTTAATATATTGGCGATAAGTTGAGTTATTCGAAATTATCTAGTTATGAGAAGTGATGCCGGTGAGTTATTGGCAACGATTTAAATTGAAATTTAGTTGTTTATGATATTGTTTTGTATTTTGTGGTATTTGGAATAACATAATACTATGAGTTTTTAAGTGAATTATTCTAATTCAGTATTTAAGCGTGACTACAAAGCACGAGGTGATGTATTTAGTGCCCGAGTTATGTAAAACATCTGTTTATGAGGATTTAAAATTATATAGAGTTTGTAATTTTGCCTGATGTCTGACAACATGCTCCATTAAGCGAAAAGTACCAGTATGTTGTGACCAAGAAGAGGAAGGAGATTAATATTAATGACAATCAATTGGTCTACATTAGGTTTAGCTATGAGAAGAGAAGCAGATATATAATTGACTCTTATTCATTAATCGTGGAATAATCTTCATTGTCAACAAAACCTAGTTAGTCTTTAACCCTTTGAGTACCGTCATTATAGACACAATTAAAGACCAATAGGTTGCGGTCACCGGCGTCCTCGCGGTAAATAACAGTTTAAAGTAAAGTTTAGCGTAAAAACAATTCACACATCTTAAACCTGCTATAAAATTTACTTGTAACAATAAAACCCACACATAAACAACCCGATTACTTCCCACCCATACCTCAATACCTCAAATACTTAGGACACATAAATCCTTCAAAATTAGCAATAGAAATGTTATAAAAAACCACATAGAACACACTGCCGACTTCCGTTGCCGTTAACACCGGAACTGAGGGACATCAAACGATTTCGACGGTTCTCACGACTTCCCAATAGTGTGAACTAGGCTTATAATTGTAAGCTCGTTAAAACCTCATCGGATAAGCCTTATTATTACTGATTAAAAGAGTTTATAACTTTAATAATTACTTCGAAAGCTCGCTACTCATAACCGCCCGTGATTTAATCGTATATGGGTCTAATTAATTTTCTATAAAAACTAATCGTGATGTGGTTATGAGATGAATTTATTAATTTTGTTTAAACTAGTTGTTTGGGGTCTCGCTTCTTGTTAATTGGTTGTGAAGAGTGCGGAGTTTTATGGGGTATTGCGGTTTTAATTTTTGCGTGTGAGTCATATTGATTGATCTGAGTGCCAAGCACGGATTTTTCTTTAAGGGGGGAAAATCATCAAAGTTCTGCTCCCGCCTGGGAAAGGCGGGAGGGAGTCTCAGACTGTTACTGACTAAAAACCACCCCGTTCCTTCTCCTGCACGTCGAACCGGAGCCCCGGTTACCCGTTAGGTTCTCCGCGACTCCGAATCGGCATCGGCCCTGTTGGGCCCCATCTGTGGTGGTCTGATGGCTCTTTGAGGCGCGCGCGGAACTAAGCACGCACCAAGCACGGATAACTATAGAATTTGTAAAGTAATAGTATCGAGCGCTCTGATTGGTTGATTCTCTGGAGCCAGCCAATCAGTGCGCCAAACGCGCTCAATCCTATTACGTTACGATAGTTATTCGTGCTTGGCACTCAGGTACTCTTTCTAGATTTAAGGTTCTGCCGATTTGATGATGTGAGAATTACCTATGACCAAACTTTGCTTATTGTCTAAATAAACAGTCTCTTGTTACAACGATATTATTGATATAACTAGACAAAGTATCTGGTATAATTTATTATGAAACGAATCCTATGAAACGTGTTGTCGTGTTTTATGAGTTTGCAAGTTGCAAGTAAGATTGCAGTATAACCGATATTTGTTTTCAAAGAAGGATGATGTTTGTGTTTAAGAGAGGGCTCTCTAAAAAGTTATCTACATGTAGTTTAAACAAAAGTTTACAAACATTTTTACATAACATAACATCACACCATTTATCCTCGAAAGCGGAGGCACATTACGGCAGAATGACCACTACAATGTAACACCCACATTTCAGTATTTATGTTATGAGTCCCATGTGATAGGGGGTGTAATAATTATTGATGAAAGTACAGATGAAATATAAAAAAGACCTTCTCAAAAAAGACCTCTGAATTTAAAATTCATAACAAGCTATTTCCAAAGGCCTCCTTTAAAATACTTTCAATACAAGTGGAATATTAAACTCATCGTTGGCATTTCATTTCAATCACCGACATATTTATGGTCCGAGATCATTAAGAGAGATTTAGCATTATAATAAACAAATAAAGAGCACTAAAATATTAAGTTATTAATACAAAAATATTTGTATAACGGGCAATATCTAAATAGCACCCATATGTAACATACTAATACAATTCAACAACCAAAATTAGCCCCTATTTCCTTTGACTTAAGATCGTTTTTGCGCGTGAGTTTTAAAGTTCGGCTTTCCTGCGCGTGAGCATTCAATTACTAGTAATAACGTGAGTGTATCGAAGCCTATCAATTTGTCAGTCTGTCCGTAACCTCTTTATATGTACATTTTATATTCACTTAAACATTTTGAAAGTAAACTTGTTAATTATGCTCTCATCAGTTTCGTGGGTAATATTTTATGGTAAGGCTCCAGTGTGGGCGATTTAATTTATGAGTGAACTATTTAAAATGATGTTTTTATTGTTTTATTGATGGGATAAAAATTGTGATGAATTTGAAATAGAATAACGTATTTAAGGCTCATTTTTAATAGAGTACGGAATACACAATAGAGTACATACACTTCTAAATGTTAATTAGAAAATAAAAATTGTTTCTTTTACTTAGATACTAGTTAAACGTCAGTTACAGGCAATTACTTCATTACCATTTTATAGGACATGTTGTATTTTTTATTGAAACATAGGTCTTCGAGTTTCGTTTTCAAATCAGATATAAGTTGTAATTTACATGACAAAGAGATAACTGTATTTCATTAATTTATTATAACCTCGACGCTGACAATTGGACCCAACCCCCAAAATACGACCTCGCACTTTGACTGACGTTACAATTTTAATACGATAAAATAAATGATCGAAACAAATTCCCCAGAATATCGACGATTAAATGTAAGATAATTACACTTTCAAAAACTCTATTTATTTTTTGTTACAAATGTCAAAATATCAAAGTTCATGATGTCAAAATGATTCGTCGAATAAAAACTTTCATGTAGAACTTCAATGGTTAAATTTATTACTATTTAAATAGCTAAATATACCTACAGAACATTATCACGTCACTTTCATTAAAATGTTCTTCCACGTCAAGATTAAAGTAACATCTCAATTAGCCTACTTGCAGACATATTTGTAAATTGACATAGCAGATTTTTACACTGGTAAGTATAACTCACAAAAATTCAGGGATTATGTAAGTGTGGGAGAGCCGTGCTTCGGCATGAATGGGCCGGCTCGATCGGAGTGAGCCTCACAGAAAACCGACGTGTATTTCACGTCGGTTTCCTCACCCACATGACGATCACACTTGCGTTGTGTTCGTCATGTGGGTGAGGTTACCGGAGGGCCAACTACCCCCACCCTTTCCCCCCAATCCCTGAATCCCCAACATTCCTCAAATTCCTAACCCCCAAAAGGCCGGTTACGCAGTTGTAACGCGTCTAGTGTTCCAGGTGTACACGGGCGGCACCGATTGCTTACCATTAGGTGATCTGTAGGCTAGTTTACCGGCTCATATCTCATAAAAAAATTTGAACAAATACCAAGGGTTTGTTCGTTTAACTTCTTTTTTGCATCTTGTAGTCCTGTTCTCGAATGTCCACATCACACCAGCAAAAATAATAAGGAATTGCAAATAAAAATACATTATTGCCTATTTTCAAAGATTTTCAACAGCAACAACAACAGGCAGTTGGCATTACAGGCACCATTAGACATTACAAATGATCACTACAAAGTCAGCTAACTAATAAAGACTTACTTTCTGATCTCCAAATCGCATTTGTCTTCTAGCGTTCCTGGCTACGTTCATTCGACAGAGGAACACACGGTCCTCTCCATCAGTTGGTGCTCGGGACAGTTCTGTTCTTACTGCCTGTTGGTCCTGTTTGTCTATCACGTCGTAGACACTGTCTCCGTGGATTAGGAGGTCCTCCTGTGGAAGATAATAAGGGTTAGTTTCCGTTGAAGATTATTTGACCCTGGTGACAGTATGTTTCAGATACTGTTATGGCAAAATTTTTATTGTACCAATAAAAATCATTTGTTGTAGGTAATACGGTGTCGATGCATTGGCTGTAGCTTTTCAATTGGAACTTTAGTGGTTATTTAAAAAGTAAATGTTTTTCTTTTTTTTTTTTTTCATCAGACCACCACAGATGGGGCCCAATAGGGCCGATGCCGATTCGGAGTCGCGGAGAACCTAACGGGTAACCGGGGCTCCGGCTCGACGTGCAGGAGAAGGAACGGGGTGGTTTTTAGTCAGTAAGAGTCTGACACTCCCTTCCGCCTCACCCAGGCGGGAGCAGTCATTCGATGATTTTCCCCCCTTAAAAAAAAAGAAAAAAAAAGTAAATGTTAGTTAGTAGAAAAGTAGAGTTAGTTTAGGCACAAATCAATTATTTATCAATCAAGTCTATAGTACTGTTGTGCGTAAAATAATTAACAAAATCATGTAAAACCAAGCGTAAGTACTTCCTTTAAAATCCCGCACAACCATGAACATTAAAACAATAACACCCGTGCACCGTACGGTACACTCATTCATCCACAAATAATTCTAGACGTAGGAAGCACTGAGGTGGCGGCTCTGCGATTAAAATAATACACCCTGCGGTCTGCACAGTGATGAAAATGTCGAACCAATCTCTGTAAGTATACGCCTCTTTAAAAATAAAAGCATTTGCTTTAAGTTTGCGGCGACGGATCCAATGGTGATGGTACCGCAATTAGCATTCCGTGTGCACTGAGCCTTTCTTTTGTTGCTATTGTTTTGATTTTGAGATTTTCTAAGATTCTTGTATGGTACATTGGTGTTAGAAGCTTATAAGAATATAATGCGTTATATCCTGAAGGATCAAATCATGTCCTCATAATCTCATATCTTGTGACTATGTTGTTTTATAGGTTTTGGTAGTGGTTTTGGTCTTATATGATCAGAAATGTTTTAGTAATATTAAGGTGTTCCCTCACCGGGAGCATTCACGTGCAATGTAACATTATAGGTTCGACTTTGAGCATTACATTACAATAATACCTCCCTGACTAACGAGCATTTGCGTGTAATGTAACATAGATTCGACTTTGAGCATTTCACAGCAATATGTCAGATTGATGTTACAAGTTGTATAAAAATATTACACATTGTATCATTACAAAGTGTGCATTGTAATGCTCGGTTCTCCTCCTTCACTGATGTAATGGTCAGATCAGTAACGTTACATTACTCGAATGCTCCTGGTGAGGGAGCACCTGTAAAGCGTTTGTCTCTAATCGATTGATGTAAAGCAGTGAGGAAAACAATCCATTGCACACGATAAACTGCTACGTAACGATGTCGTAACCAGGTCTTAATTTGACTAGTTTTAACAGCCTACATATAACTATAGCAATGTATCCTATAATTATTTTATTTTTTTGAAGGGGGGAAAATCATCGAATGACTGCTCCCGCCTGGGCGAGGCGGGAGGGAGTATCAGACTCTTACTGACTAAAAACCACCCCGATCCTTCTTCTGCACGTCGAGCCGGAGCCCCGGTTACCCGTTAGGTTCTCCGCGACTCCGAATCGGCATCGGCCCTATTGGGCCCCATCTGTGGTGGTCTGATGGCCCTTTGAGGCGCGAGGCGCTTGAAATCCTATAATTATACGAGTACCATATTATAAACCCACTATTTCAAACGGTAAAGGTTCAGGGACCTTTCCAAGATCCAGTGATTCATGGCTTGCGTGGACTACTAGTACAGCCGAAGATGGGCACTAAATCGTAACTAAATTAAACATGTAATAGAACATTAGTTATCCGTTTTATTGGACAGATGACTGTATTATATATTCTACTAAATAAGCCATTATAACTGAGTACATTTTATGTAGTTCTAGATAGAATTTACAACCGACAATTATGATTTTATAACTTCCTAACTGCCAACGTTTTGACCTAGGGTCAATAAAATCGTAGTACCCAGGGTACATAATTTCGTCTGTACTCTGTATAAACAAATTTCAATTAACCCGAGACCACTTTAATAACTTTAATTAAATCATATTTCTTCCAGCAAAGTAAAGCACAAGAGAATTTTCTTTAGATTGCTAGTGTTGCGTTTAGCTTAGGGTTGTCAAGAGATAATTGTACGTAATTTCTTGAATTATTACTTTGTTATTTTTTGTTTAGGTTGCTTGACTTTGCTGTATGAGTGTTTATTGTAGTTTGAGTGATCGTAGAAGCTTTATATTCCATGTTTTACCTAAAAAGGACTCTGGTTAATAAAAAATAATCATGGTTAATTTATACTTACAATTAAACAAAGTATGAGAGTTAATCTTTGTATTGATTGGCAAACAGATAACTGACAGTGATAACCTAGTGTCCATGATTTTAGGTAAGGCTTGTAATAGTTATGACAATAATTAATCAATAATAAAATGATTAAAGTTTCACAAGCACATGTAAGTCCAAGTTCACCCCTGACGTTGACGTCACGGCGCGTCACTTGGCCACGCCCACCTGTCGCGAACTCTCCGCGTTAAGACATAATAGTGCGCGCGCGCTCCACCGCCCACGCGCCTGCGCCTGAGCCGCTGCGCTCTACCCGTGGGGGGCGTCCATGTGAACTAGCAAAAATGTATGAAGTAATCGTTTGTATTTTGAAAAAAGTGTAGGATCTATATTTGTATGTATAGATGTAGATAAAAAATCGTTCAGTCAAGTGAATTAATAATTTCTGGTGCAGGGACGGCACAGGTGTCCTATAAGCATAAAATATAAATAATGGTATGGACCCAAGAGTTGCTCAAGAGAGCTGAAAAAAAGATCGACGTCTCTTCCTGGTGTTCAGTAGACACGTTTATAAGAAGTAAAAACTTAATTAACACCAAACCATATTTTCATTAAAAAAGTATTTAAGACACTTGTGACGAAACTTTTTCAATGAACTTTAAAAGACTTTATCTTTATCTCAAAGTAACCTACACGAACACAAAGTCATAGACCACCAACATTGTTTGAACTTTCCCGTACCTACGGAATTGTCGGTGAAATGAAATTAAACGCACACATTGCATCTAATTGCCGCGGGCAGCCACGCCCTCTAGTGATGAACATACGTAAACACAGTAATGTATGCAAATACGTCAGTTGTGAACAGCTAATTGTAGACCCGTGCCGCATTATGGGAATTTAAATGGACCATTTAGATTTTATGGAATTTAATGTTTGATTACTTATACGGGACATGCCCATAGGCCGACAGAGATTTTTATTATTCTATACTTATATAGTTGACACCAAAGTGATAGAGGGTGATTACTAAATCAACTATTGAGTGTGTAGATTATGCCAAAATCTCTGTAGGTAGATGAGGCTTATAGTACAGTCCAGTGGACTACCACAGGCGGTTTTTGATGTCAACACGAATAAGACTTTCTTTTGATAAGGATATTCTGTATTATCTGATTAAGGATAATTCAATTTTATATTAGCTAATTTACAAAATGAAGTCTCCATTCGAAACCTAAATCAAAAAGTGAAAGATCTAGCAGGCGTTACCGATACAATATCTCAGAAAATAATTGTGTTGTAAAATCGCTGTTGTGGATTACACCATATGATAGCCGTGGGGACCCATAAATCCCTGACTATTGGGCAGGGAACAGTAAATTATGTGCTAAAACCTCAACTGCACGATTTCACTCAGAAATAAGCACCTGAGCGCACAAGCGATAAATTCATTCTAAAGTGAATTACATCACTGACACCTTCAAGTTATTTGCTTTGATTTTTATATTGATTAATGGGAGCGTAATTATTTCTTTTCGGTGCTTCGTTAAGACTGAGTATTACTTCATTGCCATAAGGTATCGTATGAATTTCTCTACGAGCGATTGGGATATTTTAAATTGTACTTAATTTTAGTAACTATTTATATTACATCAACTATCTGTGAATGTTCTCAGCTTAACTATGAACTTTCTGTACATTGAATTGGTTTGCCGTTACCCAATATTTGCATGCCCAACGGGTGGAACAAAGGGATACAATATGTAACAAAAATAAATAACACCTTAGTCACTAATTAAGTACTACACCTCTGTTCAGCAAATAAAAACATTTGATTTTGATTTGATTTCATTTTGCCATAATCTGCATGCTTGGCAGGCGAGTTGGAGACTGCATTTAAAACTTTTTTTTTTCAAAATCTGTATCTGCCTTCAAGGTAAAATAAGGGTGATTACTAATCATAACATGTAATTACAAATATGAAGTATTGGCTTCTGCCCGCGCCTTCGTACGCGCAATCCCGTTTTCTCCTGGTCCCATAGAATTTTAAGCATTTTTTTCTATCAAAAACCCTTCTCCTATATATAGTGGAATCAGTTCAGCTGTTCACGCGCGATGGCGTCACCAAGGAAAGGGGGGTACATATTTATATATATAGATAGAACCAAACAGAATGGCACCAAACAAACAAAGATATAGAGATTCCGTACCATTCGAAGTGTTCGGTCCAAATAGAGCCATTTTAATATAAATGCGATTTCCCTCTCAATGAGCAGCCATAATAAATAAACAGACCACGAGACTTCATTACTAACTGAATCTGTTTATTTAACAACATTAATACGGGTTCGACTCCGCGGTGGGCCATTGAATTTATATTTGTAGCTTTTGAATTATTTGTACTGCATTCTGTTGCTTTCACTTAGTGTTGGGGAACGTTGGCATTATTACGGTATTCGTTGATTTTGTTACAAGATATTGCAAATTAAAAATTAATTTAACTAAAAATCGCGGGTTACTCACGTGAAAATACTGAGAAAAGCTCACTAGAGCTTTCACGTGAGTAGTTTCGAACTACCACTATCACTACTAACAGAACCGGGCACGATCTTCATGAGGAAGAACCCCTCTATGGTCCGAAACTAGTTGAGCTTTTGTCAGTCTGGCACGTGAGTATTCTGCAATTTTTAGTTAATTTAGTAGACCAATTAATTTGTTAAATTGTTCGTTAAGGAAATATTGGTCATCATAACACACTTACTCAAAAATAATATTTTATAGAGTAAATCAAAAACAGAAACACATGACTACAGTTCGGTTATCATGTCAAGAGTTATTACTACCTAAGGTGGTTGCAGATAGGATTATAAGCTCTATTAAAAATGGTGTAGTAGCAGTCAGCAAATTATTATGTCTAAAATGGATTTGCAGTCAGAAAGTTTAAATCATCCATAAACGGAGTAGATTGTGAACTTACGACCTTTAGTTCAAACATGGCAATACCTGCTGAGCTATTGTTACCTCAAACTATTAGGTACTAAAACTACAACAATTCAAATCGATTTCAATTCCATCGAGTAAAGGAATCGATCGACCCATCACTATAAGCTTTCTATTGAAAAAAATACGATATTTTCAATCGATTTTAATATCGATGATGATCAGACCGTTATTTAGTTCATAATGATGATACAGCAAATAATCGATCTAGTTCTCGATTGTTCGATTTTTGGTATTGATTTCTATTGAACTACTAATGTATTAATTACCTATTATTGTGCTTTTAGATCGTCTTGATTTGTAAAGTGTAATTGGTTTGGAAGAATATTATTTTTTTACTTTAAGCTTTTTTTATCAATAACTATCAATAAATATCAATAACTATAGTTAATGATTACATTTTACGGTTATAATACCAATATCAATGTCAAGATTTTAATCGAATGGGTCGCGGGTGTGATCTGTAATATATCAGGTTCAGTTATGGAACCTATCAGGTTTGAGATATTATAATATTCAAGGGCATTCTATAATTAGAGTAATGGCCGTTTTCACCAACCACCCCTAAACTGTTACCTAACTAAAAGTCACTTAGCGTGACGTAGCACCTAAACTGACTCCTTAGTTGTACTATTAGGTGTCACTTATGAGGAGTGAAAACAAATGACGTTTGAGTATCACCAATCTTATTTTAGGCGTATCTTTAAATACACATCGTCAACAGTAAATCATTGACCACGATTTAAACATAACATAACATCACGCCTTGTTATCCCCGAAGGGGTAGGCAGAGGTGCATGTTACGGCACTTAATGCCACTGTATAATGTAACACCCACGTTTCACTATTTATGTTATGAGTCCCTTTTAATAGGGAGTGAGCCTATTGCCATGTACCGGGCACATTTCCAGATTCCGTACTAATACTGAGATTTTTAAAAACCCAGTAATACTTTGCCCGACCCGGGAATCGAACCCGAGACCCTTTGCCTGGCAGTCGCACTTGCGACCACTCGGCCAACGAGGCAGTCTAAATGAAACTAATAAAAAGAAAGCGTCGAAGGACTACATTAGGAGTGAGCAACAACTGCTTTTATAACCACTACACCCGTTGGTGTAGCCATGGTAACAAAACAAAAACAATACAAAATTAACAACAATAAATACCTACAATTCGCAACAACATGTGACAAAACTACCAGGCCAAACCTATTTCTATAAATCTTCGATATCTTGAAAATTAACAGCCTGTATAATGCCTTATAAGATATAAGCCAAAGGCGAGATAAAGTTACAATGTATCGATATATTATTGCAATCCATTGTTGAGTTATAAATCGCTTTCGACACCTATTATTGCAATACCGTTTAAAAAGTAAAGGGTGGCTATTAGATTGTCATATCTTGTACTTGGTTTGAAGTAGGAAGTGTTTTGTTTTCTTGTCGATAACTTTCCTAATGTTTTTATAATAACTATCGTGAGACATACTAAATTAAGTAAAAACGGGGGTTACTCACGTGAATATACTGAGAAAAGCTCTACTAGTTTCGAACCACAGGCCTCTGTGGTTTTTACTTAATTTGCTAATGTTATTTGAAGAATTAGGAGAAAAGGAAACAGGTAGATGTAAAGCTTACTGCATGGAATATTAATCTTTTACTAGCTGTGCCTGTGACTTCGTCCGCGTGGAATAGTGATTCACAGGTCCTCCCCCGTGGATGGTAGCGTGATAATATATAGCTATATGTTGAATCTACCTGAAGTTAATCCATACAGTACTTTTTGAGTTTAAGCCGGACATGCATACAGACAAACAGACAAAAAATCTAAAAACCATATCGACCGTCGATCACGTCTCCAACCATTCTTTTATAAAAATATTCAATGTACAGTTTTCACTTTCCTATGATTTTATTATATGTATAGAAGATAGATATAGAAGATAAATATGCATACGTATAGATACCATTTTTTTAAGGGGGGAAAATCATCGAATGACTGCTCCCACCTGGGTGAGGCGAGAGGGAGTGTCAGACTTTTACTGACTAAAATCCACCCCGTTCCTTCTCCTGCACGTCGAGCCGGAGCCCCGGTTACCCGTTAGGTTCTCCGCGACTATGTATAGATACCATGACATGGTTATCAGAGGTACAGCACATTTTAAAGTCAAATTTAAAGCATTTCTTTACGGACTTAAAAAAAGGGGTTCTCAATTTGATATGTATGTATGTTTGTGTGAGATTATCTCGCAATTGACTAAATCGATTTAGATACGGTTTTCAGAAAACGTTTGTTACACTCGGGAGAAGGGTTTATAGTTGGTATATTAAAAATTAGTAAAAACATCCAGTAGTACTTTGCCCGACCCGGGAATCGAACCCGAGACCCCTTGTCCAGCAGTCGCACTTGCGACCACTCGGCCTACGAGGCAGTCAATCATTGATAATGTAATTGTTTCTGTTGAACGATGATTAATTAAAATATGGTTTCTTTTCTTTCAAACAAATCTTTACTGCTTACCACAAACTATTTCCTGTCAGAGTTACTCAAATCAAACTTAAATACTATGTCATTATAATCTCTTGATCAACAAACAAGAAACTGCACATGTCTAACCAAATAACTAAATACAAATAAAGCAATCTTGATAATACATATGTACGTATTATTTATTTATTTTATCTGTATTCATATATTTCAAAGCAACTTGATCTGGTTTTAGAATAATAAATCATTATGTACACACCTATTAAAATATTTACACTGTATGTCATTAGGTTTGAAGGTAGAGATGTGATATGTATGGTGATATGTTTAGTCGATTTCAAATAGGTACATAGTTTAATCATTTCATAGATTGAAATAGTTTAGTCGCGTTAATTTGTATTGTTTAAATTAGGTACTTACAAATTTTAACTGTACAAATTAATTTGTATAGTTAAAGTATTAATTTGTATAGTTAAAATTACTTACAAATTTTAACTATACAAATTAATGTTAAATTGGAATTTTGGAAATTATTTTAGTTTCTGGTCTCTGTGTCAGTGGATTATACAATTAATTTGGTATGAGAATAAGCATTATTTTGTAAAGTGATAAATTGGGAAGTGTTTGTAGGGTTGGATTTTATTTGCAAGTAGTATCTGTAAATGTGTTTATTAAAATTCTAGTCTAAAGTATATTTGTTCTACATGTATTGTATCTCATAGTTAAGAAAAACATGTATATCAAAGAATAAAACTGAAGCATCGCATTAGTTGTTCCGATGTTCAAACAACCAAAATTAATCGATGCGTCGACTAACAATTGGATGTTAGCACATCCCTTTACAACATACTCTCTACTAACAAATGTGAGACAGACAGACAAACAAGCCTCCGGATATGTAGATTAATGATTCACAAACGAAAACACACAGTCTAATTGCGATACAAATGAATACATGTCTCGATTGATTAATCGATTCTTCATTTAACATCGATTGATCGGACACTTGTCGAGAAGCATATAAAAATTAATAAGTAAACGTATGTAGTATTTAAATTAGTTTGGTCTGGTATTAAATTAGGTCTTTTGTTTATATGTAATGAGATTAGATTTGTAATTACAAACATTTCATGACTTGCTATCTTGATAATTGCTTTAGCATAATTTTTTTTTACCTATAATTTTTAAACACCGTGTTGATACCGAGTGTTAACGATTCTACTGAACGATTCGACAACAGTCATGATAGTTCGGAACATTCTATTAGATCTGTTGTTAAGCTTTTGATTATCTTTATAACCATGTTAGTAATTGTTATTATAAACATATTCTTCCAATATTTCGATGAAAACATCCCACTTATAGATGTTTGGATGATTGTCCCTTAATCGTGCTGAAATTCCTGAACGGATTTTGATGAAATTTGATACACAGGTTTACTTTTAATCCCGTTTAAATACTCCCATGGTAAACAGGAACAATATTCTGCGCAGACGAACAGCTAGTTAACCATAATATCAGCAGACCCACGAACGAAAGATATCTTTAGATCTTGAGAATAGTCCCTCCATCAGACCATAAACATTTGCAAGCGTATCTAAACTTACATACAGTTATAAGCTACGATTGTTACCTAACAACGTCTTCTTTAACACATCATACTAAATATATTTTCATAGAATACCCCTGCAATACACGCACTAATACGAAAATGTCGTACTAAGTAATAATACATATGCAAGTGTCGTACTAAGTAATAATACCTGTGCAAGCCTCAGGTTGGTACTTATCAGTAACCATCATACCCTAATCAGAAGGTTTAGCTTAGAAGATAGTGTCTATGATAAAATATGTTGCATTCAACAGTTCATAGATCAACGTCATCGCTAAAATTCTTATAACCAGTCCTTTGTCCTTCTAACCTTTATGTCAACATACTAAAAAACCACGTCAACATCATCACAGGCCAGAAAACGTCCATATGAGATTAAAGTTACCTTTTATTGATATTGAAATAAGAAAACTGAAATAGAAATAAAAAAATATGCGTAGTAGTCATACGTAGGTACATTTCACTTATAAAACGTACGAAAGCACCAATTTAATAGAAAATTTGAACTTAGCTACCATAGAATGTAATTAATTCCTCGTCAAGAGCTTTCACATGATATAGGTTTCATCACTGTAGCACAACTTTGAAAATAGACCCAGCGTTCTAACTAAAGTGTCCATGGTCCTTTCTATACTGTCTTAGCCTCAGGTTGGTATTTATTACTAACCAACAGACTCTAGTCCAAAGATTTAGCTTTGACGATAGATGCTACGACAAAATATGTTAAATCGAATAGTTCATAGATCAACGTCATCGCTAACATTCTTATAGCCAGTCCTTCGTCCTTATGACCTTTACGTTAACATACTAAAGGTCCAGGTAAACAGAGTTCTTTAACATACAGCATAGGTCACGTGTATAAGCAAAATCATCTACATCATGACTAGTCAGAATAC